ATTATGTAGGACTAAGGGATCGAGACGTATAGTAAATGGCATGCACCATTTTTTTTCAATTTTATGACCAAGAATAGCTCCCACAATAAAGTTGCTCACATCATGCATGATTTCAAAGGATGACTCCAATCCGGAGGTTGAATGATAGAAGCTAACGTTAGCCTCTCTTTTAATTTATCAAAGCTTCATTGCATCCTTTATTGAATTCAAATGGAACATCCTTTTGTAACAAATGACATAGAAGGAAGGAAATTTTTTAGAAGTCTTTGATGAACCTCCTATAAAAACTCGTGTGACCAAAAAAAGAATGAATATTCTGGACACTTGAGAGGCAAGGTAATTTTATATAATGTCTATTTTAGCTTTATCAACCTTAATTCCCTTAAATGAAATGACATGTCTTAACATTATCCCTTATTCTACAATAAAACGACATTTTTTAGAGTTTAGAACAAGGTTAGTTTCTATGCTTCATTCAAGCACACAGTTCATATTATCTAAACATGCATCAAATCACTCTCCATAAATAGTGAAATCATACATAAAACCTTTAATGTTATGCTCTATGTAATATAAAAAAAATACTTACCATATACCTTTGAAATGTGGTCAAGGCATTGCAAACACCAAAGGGCATCCAGCTATAAGCAAAGGTACCGAATAGGCATGTGAAAGTCATTTTCTCTTAGTTTTATCTCCTAGTCCTTGTGTGTTGTAGCATTCAACTTTTGATAATCCATGCAAACACGTCAACCATTTTGAACTCTTGTAGGAATCAGTTCATTATTTTGATTTTTAACCATTGTGATCCCTATCTTCTTTAAGACTACTTGAATTGGACTTACCATTTACTATCTAAAATTAGATAGATTACATCGACATCTATTAATTTTAGAATTTCTTTCTTTACTACTTCCATCATTGAAGGTTTTAATCTCCTTTGTGCTTCTCTTATTAGCTTAGAACCCTCCTCTAGAAGTATTACGTGCGTGTATGTGGAATGATTAATACTTTGATGTCAACTACGGTCTATCTTATAGCACTTTTGTGCTCTCTAAGCACTCGAATGATTTTCTTCTCTTGCAATGTGGTTAAGTTGCTTACTATGATTACCAAAAATGTTTTCCTTTCTTCTAAAAAAAATACTTCAAGTGTGTTAGTAATGTTTTGAGTTCAATAACTAGTGCCTATATAATAAAATGTAGTAATTTCAAATGGGATAAAGGTAAATCAATTTTAGCAACTTTAAACGTGATGAAATTTGGAGGAAAAGATTCTAAGGCCAACACCATATCTTCTATCTCATTCTCAAAAGTAAAGCTAAAAGTCTATAAAGTATTTTATTCTAAACTTACACCGATTGCAGCTTCTAACTTATCCCGATTCTCTATGTCAAACACATCTTGTGACAAAAAATCAACTAAATCAATAGATAGCATGGAATGAACATTACTAGGATACCTCAATGCTTTAAAAATATTAAAGCGAACTATTTCACCATCAAATTTCATTGTCAATATTCTTTCATGTATATCTATTTTTGTTCATGCTATCTTTAAGAAAGGTCTACCAAACAAAAAGGTATGGAAATTGGTGAATTTCCTTCCTCTATCCTTAAAACATATAAGTTCGTTAGGAACACAAACTCATTGAACTACACCAAAACATCCTCAACTACTCCTTTGAGGTACAACAAATCTATCCACTAGTTAAATTATAATATCGGTTTCTTTTAAAGGCCCTAATTTCAAAATCATATAAGTGGAATATGACATGACATTAATTGAAGCTTCAAAATCTAGCATAGCCTTTCCGAATCTAGTATTACCTATGACATAAGGAATTGTAAATGTACCTAGATCTTTGCACTTCAAAAAATTTTTTCTTTGAATAATTACGGACACATTTTTTCCCATACTTACATTTTCATTCCCTTTCAACTTCCTTTTAGAAGTACATAACTCCTTTAAGAATTTTGCATATCTTGGGACTTGTTTGATTGCATCAATAAGAGATATATTCACCTCAACCTTTCTAAACATCTCTAATATTTCCTTATCTTTATCTTCTTTCTTTGATTTAGCAAATATGTTTGGAAAAAGGGGTAAAGAATTAGCTGAATAATAATAGTTAGGGATTTTACCTTAGGATCTATTGGGAGCGAGTTCAAGTTCCTTTTCTCGCCTCTTATTGATCTTCTACCAAATGAGTCTTATACTATGCCTTTATCTCTCTCTCATTTTGTAATGTTATGGTAATTGCATTTTCTTTTTAGATCACAAGTGTTGGAGAAAGAAGTGTGCTCAAAGTTTAGGCTTTCAATCTACACATAGTGAGTAATCTAACTCACTTAAGTCTCTAGATTTTGAATACTGGTTCTTGTTTGCTATTGGAATTGTATGGTCTTATTCTAAAGCCGAGTAGTATTTTGGATTACTACTTCCACCATGTCTTCCAAGGGTGAGTTAGAGCTCGAAGTGAAAGCTTGTTGCATCCGGAATGGTGGTTGGTAGTTGTTATGTACCACCTTGATTATTCCAAGTAGGGATCATCTCTTTATCCGAGAAGGACATCATACCTTCTTTATTGTGGCAGCCCTAGGAACCATCCTACAACATTGGTTTGTTTAGAAAAATCATCTTGTAAGGCAAGACACATATCAATGGGGTGCCCTACAACTAAACAAATATCATATGTTTTCACTTGCTGCACACCATTTACCTCTATTTATCTAGGGTTAATCTCAAATTTGTTGCTCAAGTGTAAAGATGTTGATTTCATCCACCTTTTTTTGGGGGTTTGATCATATTGAATACTAAATTGTTATGAGTTAGTAGTCATGTAGGCAATCAAAATTCTTGTTGTTTCTAATGTTTTATCTACCGGGGCACCTCCACTGGCTACATCTATCATGACCTTGTCCTATAGGAAGAGTTCCTCATAAAAGCAATAGATCAAAAGTTGTTCACTTATTTGATGGTGAGGGTAACTAGCATATAGTTTTCTAAATATTTCCCAATACTCATAGAATTTCTCCTTCATGTATCATCTAATTTTGTATATCTCCTTACGGATATTTATAGCTTGACATATGAGGAAATATTTCTTTAGAAATAATCTCTTCATTTCATTCTAGGTGTTTATTAATTCGGATATTAAGTAGTAGAATCAATCTTTGACTCGAATCAACCAACGAAAAGGGAAAATCCCTCAACTTAATATGTTTCTTAGATATCCCTACATGTCTTTACCCGACATACCATGAAAGCTAGGCAAAAGATGGATTAGACTAGATTTAAGCTTAAAAGCTACCTTAATGTCAAGATAATCAATACATAAAGGTTAAAGATTTAGATCTAGAGTGCCTAATTCTTTAAGAGTGTGATTATTGTTTGTATTGGCCATGATTTCCTCTTTAGAGTCACTAGAGGAAACGGACAATCGAATATTAAGAAATAATCAAATTGAACTCAATTTCTTGACAACGGTGTCAAAATTTGATGGCATGTTGTACCACTAACAAATTAGATTGTATTTATTTTCCTTATAAAACCCAATCACAAAAGTGTAGATAAGGCAAATAAGGGTCAAACTTATAGAAAAATTGTCTAATCTATGGTTTTTATCGATCGATTATTCTAAAGTGCAATGAAAATAAAAAGGAGTTTGTGTTTATGAAGATTTGTAAAGCAATCAAAAGTAAATAAAAACAATAATAATGAGAGAAACCTTGGTTGAATATTGGTATCCGCTTTTAGTTTAATTGTTGATCATTGATTCAAACATTAGCCTCGTTCTTAACATGAATATTCATTGTAAGATAACAACATGTATGTTGTCCCTAATCTTTCTTTACTAATTTGCTAACTAAATAGATGTTATTTAATTAATCCCGAACTATTGAACAACCTAGTAGATACTAGTTAGATTTAATCCAATAACGAGGATTAAATTAGAGAAAGGTAGGTAAAGCTAAACAATCCTTCTAGATGCTAGAAAGATTTAATCTAATTCTATGTTTTCCGAAGCATTAAACAAAAATATATTTATAATCACTAACTCCTAGTTACTACCACAAGTAAGTTTAGATAAGTAATTATCCAAACTAGAATACTTAGCTAGTAATAAATTATAATAATCAAGAAACTAGCATGTACTCTTATCAATTAATCACACAATCATATTCAAATAACATAGAAAAAGATAAAATACTAAAAAAGAATAAGTTTAGAATTAGAACCCGTTAAGATCTCACAATGATTTTACCAAAAGTATCAACTTTTCTTCAACGAAGATAGATTTTTAGTGACTTATGGCTAATTACAAGAGGAATTTCCTATCTAGGGTGGCTACCCAAAAAGAGAGTCTTTGATAAAACCCTAACCTCACTATTTATAGCTAAAAGTAGGGTTACAACACACATATCAATCCCTCGTAGCTACATGGATTTTTTGGTAAGGGTAGACGACTTGTTCTTTTATCTCACATGGTTTGAAGCCTTGCACTTCATTTCATATTACTTTCTTCTACTCGTGTGCCTATTTTCTTTCATTTTTTAGATTTCTTCTAGCTTTAAAATACACAAGCATGTCTTTTCATCGGTGCATAATATGTTGATTGCCACTACCTATGTGTTGTTTCTTTCCTCTTAGAAGATATCTCAACCTAGACACATACACAAACATGTCACTTTTCTTGCTCTCGTCTTGTGGAATGCTACCGCCTATGTGGTTTTATTGCTAAACAATCATGTAATTTCTTCCTATGTTTCATACGGCCAATAGTTGTTTCTTTTTATAATTCACATAGTTGTGTGTCTCCTTAAGTTTCCTTGATGACTTTGGCTTCTTCTTACTTTGGCTTGGGTTTATTTGCTTCAATTTGTCATTTTTCCTATAAAAACTCAATATCATTATCTCGATCTTAATTTCCTAAAGATAATATAATAAGTACCTAAAAGTTCAATTTAGAAGAGCATAAAAGTTATGTAAATTATGCACTCATCACTTACACGTTTGAATGCTTTTGATATTATATCATTTTCTCCTAGGTTTGATTTATCTAGGTTGTTTGAGGAAGGTGAAGAGGGATCAAGGTTCGTCTCTAGGTTATTTAAGGAAAGGTAGAGAGGGAGCAAGATTCAAAAGAAATATTGGATGGATAACATTGATAATGAATTGGGTAATTAACGGATGGGAATTTCAATTCAATTGGGAAGATAATTGAAATATAATTAGGAGAATAGAAATTTCAATTCAAATGGAATTATGAAATATGTCATGTGGGATCCTATGTGGTATTTAATCTTTGTTGCCATCCTATTTGCCCCGCCATTTCAACTAAAAATGAAATCTTGTATGAAAAAGCTCTCGCGTATTAATATGATTACCGAATCTTAGTCTATGATTTTTTTTGTCCAATATTGAAAGAAAGTGCTAAAATAATTAAAACATGTAAAATTTGTGATTTTTAATACCATAAGCTATGAATTAATTAATCTCTCATCTTTCAAAAACTAATTATTTAGATTTTATAATCATCAATTTTCTCATAATTTAATCAATTTTATTTTTTAATTTATTTTAATTTTTTTAAAAGAAATAGAAAAAACTAAAAAAAATACGAAAGGATTGATGAGAAAAAAATAACATTTTTAAAATAAAAATAATATTAAATTAAGTATGGTGAATACTATGCAAAAGATTAAATAATTAATTTTTACAACAAGATGAATTAATAAATTCATTTTTAAAAAATAAAGGGACTAATTTATAATGGAATCTAACAACCAAAAGACGACAAGAATTAGGCTCAGCCTAAAAAAGTTTGTAAGCTTTCAAAAGCCGATCCTTTTAAACTCATCTCCTCTATCTCTCTCCCTCCAAGCTACCCAAGTAAGCAAGCCCTACTTTCTCTAGCTTAAAAGATAATCTAATTCTAATTTCTAGGGCACTAGAACGGAAGAAACATGATAATGGGGATGATGAAATTGTTTCACCCTACAATTTCTCATCCTTCTTCTTCGATGTCGACTTTTCTTAAGTTTCTTCTTCAACGAGCAAATGGGTATTTCTACTTTCAAGCACGAGCAGTTGCAAGGTATGGTTTAAAAACATTGATCGAGCTCGAACTTCCTTTAATGTCATGCTTCTTAGAAAACTATAGCCTTCTATTGTTAAATTTTCTATACCGTTGTCTTCAATTGTCGAATGGGACATCATTAGTATGAAGAAAAAGAAATGAGACATTATGAGACTCGTCATTTTGTTATCTTAGAAAATTTAATCTCTCATGATATTTGTAGCCTTAATATCTTGATCAATAGCTTCTGCTATTTACATAACGTGAATTTTGGTTCTCTTTTTTTGAAAAATAATTAAGCTTGGTTTCAACCCTAATATTGTAACATTTGCTACCTTATTGAATGGGCTCTATAAAGAGAGAAACAAGGATCAAGTTTAGATGTTGTATGATGATACACCGTGATAATCAACCATCTTTGTAAAAGTGGAGAAATCGATGAGGATGTTGGATTTGTCAATAAAATGGAAAGCAAAGTAGGCTATGCACCAAGTGTTAATTCACTAAGTGGTGGATATTGCTTTAAGAGCAAATGGATGAAGCTAGAACAATAGCTGATTTGATGGTTAGTAAGGACACCGCACTTGATGTTTAAACGTACAAGCACCTTCGTCAATGGTTATTATGTACTTTTTTTTAAACAAAATCAGATAAGCAATAAATCCAATCCAATCATGCAATAAAGTGTAAAAGGGTATCATTTTCATGAAGAATTAAATTACACTACTAAAATTGTCTAACTTAGAATAAGTTGAATTAATCAAAACAAGTAAAAGAATAAAAATTAAATTAAAGTCTGTATTCTAAAATTGCGGAATTAATAATTACTATTATGATGATATGGAAGTAGCTAGGGATAGATTCATTTAATTCCAACTTATGCAATTAATTATATTAACTCAACTCACAAACCACTTTAAAGTCTATCTTAATATATGTGACGAAGAAATTCCTTGAACAAGTTAATAAGCTATCTCTAGTCATATTAACCATATTATTCACCTAACAAACCATCTCTATTTCTATGTGACTTAAATTAAGATCTAAATGTATTAGAATCAATGGAATCCTCTAATGTAAAATAAGCATGCCATCATGCACTTCTCTTTTCCATTATTGCACTAGAACTAGTTCTCTTTCGATTAATAGTCAACTAATGATTTATATTATTTTGATCTAACACATACAATTCTCTCTCGGGCTCAAGCATATGTCATTAAATCAATAAAAGATGATCACTCTCTTAAATCATTAAATGCGGTAATATAAATTCATCATACATTAAGAATCGGGTTTTGAGTTGAGAAAAATAATTAATCACATAGAATAAGAATTAAAATCCTCCATCCCTAACTCAAGAGTTTATCTCTCCATACGAAATTTATTGGATCCGAAAATAAAATATCACATCGACAATCCATTAGAGTAATAATTAAAGAAAATTTAATTATTTTCCTAATAAATCCGTATGCTTCTATAGCTTTTTCCTTCTATCCGTCGCTCGAATTTCCTTCTTTTCTTTGGCAGTGCAATCTCCCCACTCGTAGTGCAAGTGCTAAGCCTTATATACCAAAATTTATTACTACTGTGCAAAGCTCCTTTTTTTTAGTGTCGTGCAACTCCACAATCCGCCTCCATGCATGCAAATCGCTTTCTTTGCTTTTTTAGTTTCCCGGTACAATGACCTCTTACTTTATTTTTCTTTTTCTCTGTCGTCCCCTTTATCAAGCTTATAACCTTTTCTTTTATAGCTAGCTATAGACTCCTTCTTTTGTCCATCATGTCACTTTCCTTTTAGAATAGGATGAATTCCTTCTAAAAGTGTCCAAGTCAAACACCTTTTCTCTTATTGCTCTTTAATCCTTACTTTTGATTTTCATTTTCATTTTAGTCCTTATTTTGCCTTAATTCTTTAATCTTCTCTCTATTCTTTATACCTACAAATTTAAAGCATATAAGGATTAATTTATGTCAACTAAAACATAAATCACATGCATAATTAAAAAATTCAAGCTCCAAGTTTACATAAAATATGCGTATAAATTATTATTATCATATTATAAGATGGAAAAGATAGATGAGGCCATGCAACTTCTTGATGAAATGTTGGAAAATGTTTAGTTCCTAATGTAGTTACTTATTCTACCTTGATAAGAAGCTTGTTCCTAGTTGGGAGACCTTAGGATGCAAAACAACTTTTCACATACAAGCTTGATTGTGGAAAAGCTCAAAATTAATATAGTAACATACTCGGCTTTGATTGAAGGTTTTGCCAATTGGGGAATCTTGATAAGACATTGGCAATCGTTTCAAGAGATGTCATTGAGTGGTTTAAAGCCTATCCTTATTAATGGAATGTGCACGTTTAGGAGCATTCAAGATACAAAGAAATTATTTTCTAGACTACCTAATGAAGAGTTTCTTCATGATATTTATACATACAATCCATTAATTGATTTACTTTGTAAACTAGGAATAATGATTGGAGCTCACAAACTTTTTTAGAGAAATAAAATAGAATGTCTCGCTCACCCAATGAATACTCTTATAATGTCAAGATCTACAAACACAATAATGCTTAAATGGCATAGTAGTTTGTCGAAGAAATGGTCAATCGAGGTTTCCTTGAACATGCAACCACCATAACCTTGCCGAAAAATATGAAGTTGTGCCCACTAACAAACAATCAAGCTCTAAAACATTAGCCAAGACTCTATGATGGTTTTTATATTGTGTAATTTGGAGGATAGTTTCTGCTATGAGTATTTTGGTCCCTGCATCGTTTGGTTGGTCTTGATTTTTTTTTTTTTTAGTTATTATTAGTGAAAAAATTATATTTTATAAATGAAATAATTAATTTTTTTCATGTAATTTATTTTAATTTTTTTTTATCAAATAGTGGTTAGTTGTAGGAAAGACCAAATGGAGCTTATGTATGAAATGATTTTTCCAATTTATGAGCAATAAAAGAAACGTAGTTTTGATGTACACAATCATCTTATATCTAGATTTGTAGCCTACAATATTAAATTTACCTCACCTTAAAAAAGTTGATAAAAGCCCACTAGATGAAGGAAAAAAATAAAATAAAAGAAAACATATAAAAAATGACACTATATAGTGAATCGGGAAAGTAAATATTCTTCCCTAAGTAAGAAGGAGCCTAGAAACTCTTAAAATTGATGCGAGTGGTGCATTTGAATGAACATGGAGAAAACAGAAAGATAAAATTATGCTCAAATAAAATAAAACAAAGTGTATGACGATCGATACCGACTATTCTAGATTATGAATGGAATACATCAACAACATCCTCGAGTATATTTGAAATTCCTCCATTCTTGATATCTTGCAAATTTAAATAGATATCAAGAAAAAAAAATATTAGGAGTTCATAATACTAGAATTTAACATCAATATGTTTAAGTTTTTAGGCCACTCCAAAGTTATGATTCCACCCTCTCAATTTGACTCTAACCTAACGAGTTAAAGATGAACTTAACAAGTTTTTCCTTGTTAATATAATGAAATCTATAAATTATAATCAAGTTAGAAAGAACCCGTCCGTCAAAAAAAGATTATCTTCAGTTTTACTATAATCATTAAATTGATTTACTTCTTCATCCTTGAACTAAATGACTAAGTAGGAATAAAGCTATCTTTTTTTTTACAAACTAGATTCATGTTGGCACTTCATAATCCACTCGAATTAGTTCACTTGAACGCACAACATCAAGCTTTCCTAAAAGATCAAGAGTGGTCAATCCCCAATATGCCCCGTTCATCCAAAGATGATTTGAGATCATTGATTAAAAACTATCCATTCTCTTTAGTTACATGATCAACCAAAAAAATCATAATAGCCAAGTTCAATAACTCAAATTACATAGTTAAGATGTAAACAAAAGACCGACTATGGAAACACTAAAGTACCGAATGTTCAATAAAAAAAAAACTCATCTTTTCAACTAATACAATGGATTTAACATATTTATCAACAACAAGCTTCCCCATCTCGCTATCATTGTACATTATAAATTTAAATTCTTTCCAATTCCATATACTAAAAATTTGAAAATTTACCATACAACAAATAAAAAGAACACTAAAGTTTGAGTGATTTCAATTTTCTTAAAATTCATAAAAAAAGAACTTCACATTAGTAAAATAGGATCATGAACATATTAAATTAAACATAGATGATAAATTTGCACCAAGTTTCAAACTTTAACTCGTCCATAAGCATGTTTAACATTACATTAATCCATTTGTGTAGTTTTATATGCTACATTATTCAATGAGTTACTTAAACATGATTAAAAAAAAAGCCAAATCCAAAACCGAAAAATAGCAAAAAACAAAATCAAAGTGATTATAAAGACAAAAACAAAGAATTTCAATAGAGATAAAAGGTGTTTACCTGGTTGTTAGTTTGTTTTGGGATTTTAAAGACAATAACTAATGTTGTTATGAATTTCAAGGGAGATAAAAAGTGGTTACCTAGTTATTAGTTCTTATTTGTAAAATCTTATTATTATAATTTTTTTAGTTGATTATGTAACTAAAGAGAAGTAGTAAGTAAAAAGCTTAGCCATTTCATTACCATCATCATCATAATTTCTCCCTTCTTTTAGTCTCTCTATCTCTCAAGAATCTCTAAGAAGCTCCTCTTTGTCTATGTGCATTTCCTCCGGCATGGACATGGTCGGTATCATGTGAGGTGAAGGGTTTAGTTTTAGTTTCAAAACATTTCCTCACCTAGCCTTCGAGCCCTAAATTACCCAATGGAAGGTTTCCTTTTAACATCTTTCTTGTCCTTTCTCTTTTTCAATATATGGGGCCTCTCAAGGAGATATCTCCGCAATCCGTTTTCAATAATGCTCGTCAACTACTTCATGAAATTTCTATTAGTTAGACAAGTACAACACATCAAAATTTTACTTTGATAAAAAGGCTATATGTAGCTGCATGTGCTTACATGAGATAGAAAGGGAGGACATAAGGAAAAGTGGCATTTCAAAAATTTTACCTTCTCTTTTTTGTTATTCCGAGCTTTGTTGGTTTTTTAATTTTACTACCTTTCTAATATGAGGCTCATTATGTTCTTCAACTTCATTGATCATCTAGTTTCTCATTTCATCCTTCTCTAGATGGATGTAATTTGGCTAGTAGAAAAAAATGTACAAACAACTTTATCAAGCATACCAAAGGATGCAACATGTTATCCATCTATATTTCTATAATAACAAATTTGAAATCTTAACGATCCGTTACACATAAGAAGAAATTATCATACTTGTTGAAGACTTTTTTAACCGAAAATCTATAATAATAATAATAATAATAATAATAATGAAAACAAGAAGAAGAAAAAACAACAACCAACATTACACCGATAATTCACCATATCATTTATGTCCTAACCATAAAGCTTATGTTAGTCATCATCTTAGAAACACCAAACTACTTGTGCATTGAGGGAAAAAAAAAACTTATCATGACAAAAGTTTTTATACAAAAATAGTTGATGTAATAACAACCAAACTCATTTTCCCTTTATTTTTCCATCGAGGATAAAAAAAATCTCTAAAGAGCAATCTTTATCAATAAAAAGGAAAAAAAAAAGAAAAAAGAAAAATACAACAAGATGTACAATGCAATAGTTCCATTCACTCTATTGCGAGTTTGATAACAAAAGGGAGAAATTGATTAACAAAGAACTTGATTCACTAATTAGATGAGATTCACAATTCACAAAAGCCATAATTAGATTAAAATATGTTTAACTAGATTACCAAGGAACTTGATTCACTAAATTGACGAAAACTCGTAGTCATTTATGAATAAGCGGAATAACAATTGAAAAGTTCATTTGATTGACAAAAACAATACAACATATCCTTATTAGTTTCTTAGGTCATTAAATTCAGTTTACGTCATTTGTTAGTGGATAGATACACCATATATAACGAAATGATACAAGGTACTCTATAATAGATACAAAGCATTTTACCTAATTTGACTATAAAAAGGCACATTCTCTTTACAATTATAGGAACTATATTTAAATCATGTAGAAGCTAATAAGATGGTCGAAAAATATGGAGTCAATTATTATTGTATCCGGCAATAATAAAAAATAGATATAAAGATGAACTATCACTCGTTTTCCTAGAATATGTTCCAAAAAGCCTTGGAATGATAATTTTTTATATCAAGCATTAATTTTTCCAATAAGACATTCAAAATTTCTTCCAATGATAGCTTTCTAACTAAGTAGTCTTTAGTTGAAAGAAAAGAGGATTTAACTTGAGGGTTAAAACCCTATTCAAAAGGTTCAAAGGCATAATCTTCTTCAAACTATCTCATCAATAAAAAGTATGCAACTAGATGTAGAAAAAATTAGATCCATTCACCGAAGCGGTAGTTTTATAGGGAAAAAAGAAGAAGCAAAGTTTGTATTCTAAAAGCTAGTAACAATTCGGAGGAAACCAAAGCTTGGGAAGGGATCACCTATATGAATAGATTATCGAGGAACTTGATTTATTAGATTGATGAAAGTTATCGGTACTTTATGAAGAAATTGAATAAGAACTTAAAAATTCATTTGATTGACAAAGAAAGCAAATTATGATAAATAATAGTTTCCTAGATCACCAAATTCTATTTACATCAAAATACTACAACAAATGTGACATCATGGCACAAAAATATATTCTTTGTTAGCGAGACACAACATATACTACTCAAATGTTAGAAATGCAATAAATTTTATATTAGATACTAAGCATAACATCCAACATTATAAGATAATTTAGGAGGGAAAACAAGATACAAGCTAAATACTTTACGAAACATTCAACGCCCCTTCCATGAAGAGCTTGCATAACACATTATCACCCATCACTTATCATACAGTAACATAATTAGTCATTCATATGATGATGTTACTATAGCACACCGATTATATCATGGCCAAAAAAAAAAAAAAGACAATATGTAATGACAACCAAATAAAATGAGAAAATAATTTATGTATTTTGATGTGAGACTAGTTTTCTTTCACCAATTATAAAAATGAATAAGAAAGTAGATTAAGCTAGGATATTTCAATTCAGTAGCTAATTACTTCTTATATGTTTATAAAAAATTTAGGAGGAACATAAAACTAGAGGACTAAAACACAACAGATAGCTTTGGAGTATCTTGATTCGTTCAAGACAAACGGAGACATGACACAATGCATTATATTCACCACAAGGTATTAGGAGCCGAATACATAAAAGTCTTGATTACAACTCCTAATAACTAAAGGTGTGTAACTTTTTCTATTACAACTTGTGTAATGATTCTTTTGAAAAGGTCAACTAAAATTACCAAGAGTGAAAAACTTAAGATGTTGATCAAGAACAATAGAAACACCTACATTATTGGCATATCCACATAAGAAAATAGAATTTGATAAATGATAGTGTTTATGGATCACAAGCTATGTTATGAATTATATCTCTATAGAAGTGAATAATTACAAGGTGATAAGCAAATAAGTGGCACAAACAAGTAATAAAAATTGGTTTACGACCAATATCAAATGACATTTAGGATCAACATATGGAGAATTTATCCTCCGAATTCCTTACATTACTCTTTGAATTCCTTTGATATGTAACTAGCTATAAATGAAAATTCAAACAAATCGTCTAAGAAATGCACAACTTTATAAAATAAAGTATGTAACCAAATGGAACAACTAACTTTATGTAAGAAAGCTAAAAATCAAACTTTTTAGACCCATACATGATGCATATGTTATAGTCTATCCCTTTATCAATTTAGGTTTAAATGCTACGAGTGGTAAGATTAACAATACAATGGGCAAAAAAAGAATTAGTTATTGTTTAACAAAACCATCTATAGACATAAACTCAATCACAAAGTAACTCATGGAATATTTTAATGAGTCCTATATTACAACCTCGATTCAAGATAGAAAGAACAAAAAGATAAAATGTTGAAAAATTTCAATGAAGTATAAGAAATATCTAAAGATAAATTATAGTTATGCATGTATAAGCATAACCCGAAGTGGTGAATGCTAGTCTAAAATCGGTAACTATTGACTATTGCACTTTGCCAAAAAAAAAAATGAAAAAAGCAAGTAATTTATGTCGTTGTCCAAATTTTTACAAGATGGAACTAAAATAACTTAAAAGGTAGAAAAAAGCTACTTAATTTGTGCCAAACGAATTAGAAGCATGAAAAACTTACATTATGTTCTCACCTTGACAAACTTCACATAAGCCTTGGATAATCCTTTAGAACAAGATTATCTTTATTAGATAACAAATCTACCACTAAGGCTATCATGCCCCCATCTACAACAAAACCTCTATCTCTCATTTCATGACTACCAATGAATCATTCTTGTGTTGAAGAGATGCTTGGATTATAATATTATAAGAACATAGAGAACAATCAGCCTTTTCCATATTTCAAAAGCCTACAATGCTTCGGATAATAATCGTGCTTTTCGTAGTCTATTTATCATTGTATTGTAAACGAAACATGAGGTTACACACTACCGATATAAATCTCTACAAACAACCCCTAACGACTCCATAGATTCGAAAATGGCATGAATTAGGATGTTATATATATCATGGAATTAGGCTTTAGATAACTATTTTGCATCTCTCAAAATAGTCTCAATGCTAGATTAAGAAACATTTGCTTATAGAAGTTATCAAGAAAAATTGACCGGATTTAGGCGGTTCCTATTAGCATACATGTTATTAAAAAACTCTAGTGGCTTCTCGAAGTCTCCCTATTTGGCACATGCTACTATTTAGAGTACTATAACCGACGAGTGTTTGGAATGAGGCCTTCAAAAGACATGCCATAAAAAAATTTGTTTGGCCTAATCTAACCTTTTCCCTTACATAAGATGCTATAACTAAAAAGATTTTATACATAACCTTTTCTTTTTATCGCATCAAATACCTTTCTAGCTTAAACAACCCTTTGTAAGTAGTATTCATGCACCAAA